ATCATTTGATTTTTAAATAATATTTGTTGGAATATTTGAATAACCACAGCTGCTTTTTACTTTTAAGTTTTTGATCGCATCGACGATTTCATATTTATTAATAGAAAGAAATTAGAAACTTAATTTTTTAAAATCTTATTAGCTATTTTAAGATTATTGAAAAGATTGTTAGTAAAGTAAGGTAAAGTAATAAGAATCAGTAAGTATACAATCGGAATTAGATTTAAATGTACTAAAGAATTTGTTGAAAAACAATTACTTTTCAAGGCTTAAATAAAGCCTTTTTGTTGTTGTAATATAATCAGGGAAGGGAGTATCTTCAAAGCTTGATTTAGTTTTGATGAACTTTGAGTAGAAATCATAAAAGTCTTTTGAGTAATTAAAACTTTTCAGTTCTTTTTTTTTTCAAATAACTTGTTAATTTTTCGTTTAATTTTATCTGTTTTAATTCCTATAATTTCGTATAATAATATCTCTTCTCGTTTTTAAACGTTTGAAAAATTGATAAATCATTTGTTTTTACGTAATCAAAATAATAATCGTTGCGCAATTTTTTCATATTTTTCAATTCTTAATCGAACCATCCATAGTTGTCTTTATTCTTGATGTGTAGTTTTATCATCTTTTCTGGTGAAATGGCATTTAAGATATTTATAACGTTGAGTTTGAAGTAGTTTCACATGTTGCTTGAGTTGTCATTTATTTTGAACCGCATGTTAGAGTTATTGATTGCGTTGGATATGATTGCTATTTTTTAATACTTAGTTCAATGCTTCTTATTGTTTTTGAAGACTACTTCAGTGATACCATCAATCGTTGCAAAAACCGCACAGTGATCACTAAACGAAGTTTCTAAGACGAAAGTTTTTATTTTTGCTGAACTTTTACTTAATAAAACATCAATCATACTTTTAGATGTTTTGTATTTATGGTCTTTTTTTTATTAAATTTAGTTGTAACCTTAGTTGGTTTATAGACATTGTTTTTTAAGCTGTTATTAGTAGAAAACTCATTAAGTTCCATTCCATGTTGGGAGCTGAGGTCTTAATTTTGATCACCGATTATGGATGCTGGTTTGTTTTGGTTTAGGTTTGATGATAGGCTTTCTACGATTGTTAAAGGATTGAGAATTAATATTTGTTGGCCTATAACAACAAAAAATATTATTTTTCAATTTGTTGTGCATCATTTAGAAATAAATAATCTTGTATTCAAAACTGCTTTTCGAAAATAAAAGTTTCATTTTTATTTAGATGAGATCGCCACCTCCTTTAATGCTGTCATTTCTGTCTCTGCGCAGAGTCTTAAAGTTATTTGAAAGAAACTTTTTAGTTAGATATATATCGTTAAGTTTGGTTTCATTATTCATGATAACTTAATAGGTATAATAAAGCCTAATGAAATTCATTAAGTGTTATTTTACGTATGAAATTTAAATCTAGGGTAGATATATGCAGGGCATATAGGAACACTTAAAAAACAAATGTTAGTTGCGGATAAACTAATCGTAGTTAACAGTATTTTTTATAAATTTCCTAAAATTCATTCATATAGAAAACCGGAAAGACAAAAAAAAAATCTAAAAAATAAGCTCTGACCACGAAAGTAACAATAAGTCTAGACTAGCAAAATTTCTACATTTTCCAAGTGGGTGGGGCAAGGCGGGACAGTTAAAAAACAGCAAGTATTTGTTAATTGTAAAGCTTTAAAACTGATAAAAAGTATTAAAGACATTTTATTATTTAAAAATCTGTCAGACATTAAAGTATTAAAGAAGTAGCATACCCATAATAATTAAAAAAAAAAAAAAAAAGAATGATATTAACAAATAAAATAAAAAAAACTTTTTTTTTTTTTTATATGATAAAATACTCTTAACCAAATAAGTATAAGAAGTTGTCATAAATTTAAATAGGGCAAAAATAGTATATATTATTAAATTGGTAAATACTACTAAATTCAAAATTAAACAAAAAATATTATGGATCGCATAACTCACACAAAAAATATCCTGAAACTATTTGGTAACATTTTTGATGAGCTGGCTTGTTAACAACATGCCAATGTTAAGCAAATTTGAATATGCCATCATATTTGTATCAGCAGCATTTCTTTTTTAAATATGCCATCATCAGCAGCTTTTCTTTTTTAAATATGCCATCATATTTGTATCAGCAGCTACAATATGTATCAGCAGCTTTTCAAATTCTAAGTTCCTTTTTTTACAGCTAAAACTAATAATTGATTTTTCTAATATAATTTCTTGCCATCGTTGTTTACATTAGACACTATTGATAATCGAAGTTAAGTTATAAAAAATAACAATTTCTTTGAATTTATTACTAATATTGCTTTTCTAAGTGAGAAAAATATTATTTTAGATTAAAAAAAAGCCATCAAACTCTAAACAAAATGTTAGTATTATAGTCAATTATATAAATAACCCCCCAAATTTTGTGGTTATTATAAAATAACCACAAAAGTCATTTTACTGAAATTAAAACTATTCAAAATATTCGATTCGAGATGTTTTTTTAAAACTCGATGCTAAAAGAGGATAAAAAATACTGTCTGAAAAATATTTTTATAATTAATAGCAATAGTTCAAGATAAATCTTTTGTTGTTGTATCGCCTATGAAAATGCGCAAATTTTGTTTTTTGCAAACTTACTGATGTATATTGGTACTTTTAATGCATTCTGGTAGTTCTAAAATTAATTTTTTTTTACATTAATGTAGCACAATAATTGAAAATGTTTTATCAAAAATATTTTTGGAAAAAAAAAAATTTTTAGCTGAGGTATGAGGCTTCAGGCATAACTGTCCCATTATGCCCCACTGTCCTGATATGCCCCGCTCTACCCTAATATTGGTTTGATTTCTGACATGTATTTCGACTTTATTAAGTTTATATTTAAATGCAAAATTGAAAGTATTTTTTCTTTGAAAAATTGAATGTTTTTTTTTCTTTGAAAAATCAAAAGAGAGTATAAATTTATCTAAGTTGTAAATGGTGGGAATGTTATTATTATTATTAAAGATATTGTTAACTGAAGTCACTTCGTTTGTATCAAAAGTTTCAGGTTGAATAAATAAAAGAGCATTATCATTTAGTTGGGTTTGTTTAGTTATTGTTAAGCTAATTTGAGCAATTATAGGACGGCACAAAATAGAGTCGTTCCTTAATATATATATTTTTAATTGTTAATCCCTTATTCCATAGTAGTGTTTTTTATTTTTATGATTTACGTCAATGTCATATCTAAGGTTGATTTTGTCGTGAAGTGTTTATTTGAGTTGGCTTTTTTTTTCGCAGCGTAAGCTATTAAAATTCCACAACTTATATGGAACCATCAGGCCGCAATAGTCTTAAGAGAAGGAAGAAATATTTTATATAAGTTCAAGGTAGTGCTAGATAAATTATAATATTTGGCAGATGTGCAGTATTGAGAGTCTGTGTTTGAAAGGGGAGTATTATTCAGTGATAAAGTTCCAATGTTATTATGTTCTCTTTATATTTAAGGTTTGCAACTAGAACTAGGTAATTAAGAAAGAATAAAAATGCTTTTGCTATTATTTTTGTGTGCTAAAAACGTAAAAAAAAGTGATTTTTTTTTAAACAAATTATTCGAATAGTAAAATACTTTGTTTACGACTTTATATTTGAAACTTGATCAATTATTTTATAATATTTATGTCATAATAGCAATTCTACTTTATTCTACTATGAAAACATTAATTAAAGTACTTACCCAGTGGGCACGTAACGTTTTTTAAACATTATTAGGTTTAAACCTAATAAAAACGTCTAAAAAACAATATAAAAACTGTGTATTAACCTAATAACCACTGGGTATTGACCTAATAAAAGTTTTTCAGCAGTGACCAAAAGTTTGAACCACAAACTTCAAACTTAAAGTTTGTTCATCATAAACCTACATAAATGTGTATATATTTTCACATTTATGTAGGTTTATGATGAACAATTAAAAAAAAATTAAAAATTAAAAACAGAGATAAAGAAAGAATTTTTAGGTCAAGAAAAGTTCTTATTGAACAAGCTAAACCAGCATTATCTGGTAATTTTTTGATTTTACTTAAATAAGTTGCTGTATACTTTTATTTGTATATATCAAATGATAATGTTATAGTTTTATCAATATCATTTTTATATACTGCAGCGTGCATAAAGGATTTATTAATAAAACTCAAAAAATGAGAGCTTCAAAGTCTTAATTTACCAGGAAACAAGAACCTTCTAAACTTGAATTTATCAGAAAATTAAAGTAAACTAGCTGAAGTTGGACCCGTAAAAATACAGGTCTTCGTAAATTTATTCGAACCCGAACTTTCCTATACTTTTTCCTTATATATCCTAGCTTTACGGATCCTTAAAATGCAGGTCTTTACCAATATATATATATATTGGAGCTCTCATTTTTTGAGTTTTATTTTACCGCGACACCAGAAACATTGATTTTTTAACGTGTGTTTTTTGCTTAAAAATAACTTATTAGATTTTTTACTCCGTATTCAGAAAACGGCTTTGATTTCTTATTTATGTGAAAGTGTTATAAAATCATCATTTTAAAATATTTTTTTAAATAACCTGTGAAAACCAAAAATAACAGGTTGTTATATAAATAACAAACAAAAATAATAACTGGCCAATAATAATAACTGTAAGGTACGAAAAACCGGTTATTTTGAATAACTGATATTTCTTGTACTTATGAAGCGAACTGGTAAGTTATCTGATTGCTTTTATTCTTTAGAAACTCAACCTGTAAAGTAACAGTTCAAGCGGGTTTTATCTTTGTAACATCAATATTTGGAATAATTAATAAACATTAGCAATCTATACTATACTATACTATACTATACTATAGTAAAAATATAATTAGGTATGCGGTATTACATTTTAATACATTCCAAATAATTGAGTATGCGGCAAAATTTGGTTTCGAAGTTTCGGAATGAAGCTGGTTTTGTTTCGGAAATAGATCTTAGGACATATCGAAACCTAACGCATTAAATAAATGTTTTATTAAAACCTTTTTAGTTTAATTAAAGTAATGGCAACATTATATGAGCTTTGATGTGGGTATATTGTTTATTACTGTTCCTCTACAAAACTTACAGGAAACAACTTTTAATAAACAGAGGTATTTACTTAGTTAAGCTTGTTTAACTTATATGCATAAATGTAAAATTTGCGAAAATTAAAGAAATAGCTTTTATTTTTTTATCAGAAATTATATTATATACTTTTTTCATTGTCATGAAATTTAAATAATTTTTGTGCTCACACGTTCGTGCGCATAAGTTGCACTAAACAGTATGGTTTCTTAACAGTGCTTGTCACATATAAGTTGAACAATAGAAAATAAAGCTCTACTCTAAGGACGTTTGAACATGAGAAGCGTAAAACTCAAATTTTCTGTGGTGATTTAAATTAGGAACTTAAGACAAAGTAACTCTATGTCACGGTATATTATACGCATTTTTTAAAATAGTCAAAAATTGAAATGATCTGTGTGTACACAATAGTTACATGTGCTTGCGAGATAGTTACAATTTTCGAATTTTTATGATTAGCAAATTACGCCAATACTTAGTTGTCATATAGTTCTTACATTTTTTTTTTTTTTTTTAAGTATCTTTTATACTGACAGAAAATTAATTTAATAAGTTTTTTAAATAGTCAAAAATTGAAATGATCTGTGTGTACACATTAGTTACATATGCTTGCGAGAGAATTGCGATTTCCATTTTTTATGGTTAGCAAATTACGTTTTTTTTTATTCTGTTGAGACTTATCACTTGCAAACTTTATCAGAACTTCTTGTACTTTGTAAGACTAATTTGATTGCAGCTGTCTTATTTTGAGGTCTTAATGTTGATGGTTATCTTCCTTTATTTTGTATAGACTCCAATAGTCAAATGCTTGGTCTGCGCATTTACATTTGTAATAATTTGCCCATTTACCAATTTGTCTCAACAAATTTGAATCCACTATTCTTCTTTTGTGCTTTTGTTTAGCACAATTTCATTTTATCACATTTTTCTTCGTTCTATATCACTATCTTTTATCTCAAGACTGCACATTTTTCAATGTTATTTATGATCAAACTTTTTATAATCTTTCTCTTTATCCTTCAGCCGATATCGTTGTTGCTAGTAACTTTAATGCTCGTCATACGGAGTGGCTTGGTTCTAGTGTCAGTAACTTTGCAGTGTTAAAGCCCTTAACTTTTTTCTAGCACAAAATGTCGTTTTTTCATCTGGGTTTGACAATACAGCAGCCGTATTCTCATCTCTCCGTTAAGCTTAACGGAGCGTTTGTCAAAAATTTTATTACAACATCTTTATGTTATGAAATGACAAAAACTTTATTCAAATTTGTTTAATTAAAACTAATACTAAAATAAAACAATTTTATTTAATAATTTATATTTTTAAAGAATTTTTTATATTAATGTAGTTAAAAAGAACTTTTTGACAAACAGAGCTTAACGGAGAGATGAGAATACGGCCACAGATCATTTACCTTTTCTATTTAATTTTTGTCTGGTCTTCTAGTCAGAGCTTAGTTTCCCCTCACTCACCCTTAGGTGCTTCTGATTACGGTTTGATCTTTTTAAAACTATTTTCTCATTCTCTTTTATCATCGGAATCCACCAATCATTGTATCTCCTAAAACTACCTATAGGTAGAAGCCTTTGGTCTTCTTGCTAAAAAATATGCTTTTTATGTAACTTCTTGGTTTTTTTAACTTTAACAATTCTAATTCATGGCTCACTCTTCTACATTATTTTCCTTATATTGTGCCACTAAAATTTTTCATCTTAATCATTACTTCTATATCTATCACCAAAATAAATTATCCAGAAAACAGACCTCTGTTTACTATTGCAAGATGCTATTGTATAAAGGTTTTGTCTACCGCCATTGCCCGCTATTCTCAGGTCACAAAATCTCGTATTCTATTTTATAAATTAAGCTCCAGAGACTTCTGGAGAATCTTTACCAGTGTCTATAATTTGTGCAAACCTGTTAGTTCCTCTCTCTTGCATGGTTTAGATTTTGTTATCTCACCTAAAGACAATGTTAAATTGTTTACAAACAAGTTTTCATTTACCTCGTCTTTTGATTTCACTAATTGTACCCTACCAAATATAGCCGATAAACAGGTTGATCCATTGCTTGACATTTTTATCACTTCAGCTTCTGTATTTAAAGTGATTTCTTGCATTGACTCTTCTAAAACTTGTGCTCCAGACAGCAAACCTAATATAGTCTTGCAGAAAGGTTCTCCAGATCGTATAGACGATAACTTTAAAACCAGAAGTTAAGTCCAGAAGTATAGACGATAACTTTAAAACCTTTCAAAGTCCTTATCAGAGTCTTGCTTTTTAGCCTACTGGAAAGCAGCATTTATTATCCCTATTTTTAAAACTTCAAAAAAGCAATCTGACTTTACTAACTACAGTCCCATTAGTCTTCTTCTTATAATATGCAAGGTTTTTGAGTCTTTAATTAACAAAAAATTAATCTCTCATCTTGAACCTAATTTACTCTCTGATCATCAATATAAAATTAGATCCTCTCACTCTACTACTGATTTGTTAACGATAATAACTGATATGTTTTATTGTGCATTATATAAATGTGGAGAGGCTAAGGCTATTGCTCTTAAAATTTCTAAAACCTTTGATATCATGTATTATGGTATGCTAGTCTTCTTCATAAGCTCTCTTTATACGGTGAATTTCTTCTTACGGTGCATCCATATATTATGGCATGCTAGTCTTTTTCATAAGCTCTCTTCTAACGTTGTATTAGGTAACTGCCTTAACACTTTTGAATCCTTCCTTACTAACCGTTATATAAAAATTGTCCTCGTTAAACAGCATTCTATTTTCTTTTCCTGTAACTTTAAAGACTCTTCAAGGTTCTATCCTTGGTCCAATACTTTTTAATTTATATGAAATTCTCGTAACTTAGGTGGTAATGTTTGCTGATGACACTTGTCTTGAATAGAAACCAACACTCTCTGATTGCTTAATTTTGCTGAAGTAAATTTATCATCTGCTAAGGTTGCATTTTTATCACGCACGCCACTTTCTTACTCCGAATTTTATTCTTATCTATATGTATATTAAATCCGTTCTTGTATGAAATACTGTTGCCATATTCGGAACGGATTTTCGAATGATGCATTTTTTTTAAATAAGGTGCAAAAATGCATTATAAACGTATTTAGATCTGCTCTTGCAGCCAACATTTAATCATTGTCACATTGCTGTAATGTTGCCTCTACTAAAATTCGTGTTACTCGTCATTAAACTAAGTCTCGTCCTTTTACTTTGACTGTTCTTAAGTATTTGAAAAATTCTTTTTGGTCTAGTTTTTTTTTTTTCACAAACATCAGTTCTTTTGGTTTCGTTTCCGCTTCTAGTTTTTCTGATTCATATAATTTGCAATCTTTTAAGCTGTCTGTTAATTGTTATCTTTTCCTATAAACTTTATCTTTTCCCTTCCAGTAACTTCCAAGTCTAATAGTGGTTACTTGTTGGAACTAAATATGTTAAAAAAAAAGAAGATTGATTTTATATATTGTTTCATTTTTTTTTATTTACATTATTTAACTATAACTATATCACGTCGGTAATAAAAAAAAGTTGAAGTAATAATTTAAAAATTTCAAAGGTAACATTGATAACATTTTTTTGATATGAAATTGTACTTTTTCGTTTTCTAAATTGCTTTTGGTAAGTTAAATTAAAACATCTGCGGATTTTATTGATTATTGATTATATGTCATTTTGAAAAAAATTCGAGCCGTCAATAAAAAATAAATTTATTTAATCAAATGAGAGAAGTTTTTAGGACATTTTAGTTTTATACTTAGGATATTGAAACACAATAAGGTTTTACTTAAAAAAAAAAAAAAAAAAAAAAAAAAAAAGAAAATATATATATATATATATATATATATATATATATATATATTTGAGTTTGATATATTCAGTAATCAAGTTTATACATTTAAACCGCAATAATGCCGTAACAATAATTAAAAAATATATACATATGTATATATTTAAATGTTAAATTAATAATTTGATGAAGAAACTTTTCCAGGGGTCTCTACGCTGATTTAAGCTTTTAATCTAAATCTGATCTTTAAATGCATTTAAAGATGGAGCGTTTACCGCGTGCTGTGTGTGAGAGTTCCAATGGACCGCAACTCGGTTTATGAAAAAGTTTGATCTTTCACATCCTCTTACGAATTGACGATCAAGCTGGTTGTCATGGCCGCGTAGGTTATACACCTCACGCCCAATTAGTTGGGGCTGTGAGACCGTAAAATGAACTTCGTCATAGTTGTTGAAAATTTTGAATTGTTCGATTATATCACCACGCAAACGACGTTCTTTGAGAGTAGTTAGTTTGAGTACCTGCAGACGCTTTATTTTATCAAAATGGCTTTTAGATGATATTGTCTTAGTGGCGCAATCTTTTTTTTTTTTTTTTTTTTTTTAATTTATTTCGTCAGTAAAAAAAAGATTACAATGCCGCGTAGTATAAATAAGATCTACATGACCGGGGTTAAAAGAAGACAATACTTGCCTTATCACTACACCCCGACGTGCTTTCATAAGCAAGCGTGTACAACCATTAAAAGTTAAATATACAATTACTTTGTGCCATTTAAAAAATTATATACAATTATTTACAAGTATGTTAAGACTAGTTACTAATCTATAATCAAAAGAAAATAGTAAAAAGAAATTAAAAAAAAAAAAAAAAAATCAAAACTATAGATAAAAAAAAAAAAAAAAAAATCAAAACTATAGATAAGCTATAGGATAGTTTATAGAGTTAATAAGATAATTGTTAAAAATGAAGAAAAAAAAAAAAAAAAATTTTTTAAAAAGAATTTAATTCATTAACATCGTTAATAAGTTTTTGTTTCAATTTTTTTTGAATAGGTAAAGAGAAGAACAATTTTTCAGCTCGTCACTTAATAAAGCGTTCCATAATTTAGGACCTCTTATAGCAATAGAAAGTTTGGTAGCCAAATAATGCATTTTAGGTTGCTCATAATTGTACTTAGAAAATCTTGTAGGGCACATGTGATTAATTTTATTGAAAAGTGTACTAAATATTATAGGTGATATTTTATTATGAAGTTTGTACATAAAAATAAGAATTTGATAAAGGTTTAACTGAAAAACATTGAGTATGTGAAGATTATTAAATAGTTCTTTAGTATGTGTGAATCGACCTGCATTTGAAATAATTCTGACAGCATGTTTTTGTTTACTAAGCAGTTTTTTAATTTTACTTATATTAGAGCTGCACCAGGCAATGTTTGCATAGTTTATATAACAATGTATGAGGGAGAAATATAAAATTTTGAGGAATTTTGTTTTAAAAACTGCTTGGCTTTGAATAGTATACCAATATTTTTTGAAACTTTATTTTCTATTGTACTTATGTGTTCTCTCCATGTTAAGTTTTCATCAAGTATCACTCCTAAAATTTTCATTGATGACTCTCTAATTATTTTAGAGTTGCCAATATAAAGATTAGGAAGTTTTAGTGGAATGTTTTCTTTATCGTGAACTCTATAAAAAAAAGTAAACTTAGTTTTATTTAAATTTAAGGACAATTTGTTCGCCTTGAACCATTCCGCTAGATTTAAAAGTTCTTTGTTTACTATTTTAAATAAAAGTTTAATATCTCCATTAGAGTAAAATAAATTCGTGTCACCTGCAAATAAAACAGAGTTTAAAATGTTTGAAAACTTATGAAAGTTGTTTACATAAATAAGAAATAAAAGAGGACCCAGAATTGAACCTTGGGGAACACCGCAATTTATTGTCATATAGGAAGATTTTCCTTCTTCGTATGATATGTTTTGTTTTCTATTGTTTAGATAACTTATGAACCAATCTAAATATGTGCTTTTAATACCATAACTTTCGAGTTTTTTTATAAGAATATTATGGTCTACTGTATCAAAAGCTTTGCTAAGATCTATAAAAACTCCAGGAGTAAACTTTTTCTTGTCAAATGCTTTAAATATATCATGAACAATATTAATAGTGGCATGGTCAGTTGAATTACCTGGCTGAAATCCAAATTGTTTATTATATAAAATATTATTTGTATTTAAAAAATCCGATTATACATAATTCGCTCTAAGATTTTTGAGAAGCAAGGGAGAATTGAATTTGGTCTGTAATTTTCAGAATTAGAAATATCTCTTGATTTAAAAATAGGTATAACCATTGCAATTTTAAGTTTCTCAGGATAGACACCTTGTTTTAAAGAGAGATTAAAAATATGTAAGAGAGGGATTGTCAAGTATTTTATTGATTTTTTTATTACATTACTACTAATATTATCAACTCCTACACTTTTGTTTTGTTTTAAAAGATTTACTGCATTTATAAGTTCATTTTTAGTAATTTCATAAATATCCATTTTAGAGGTCTTATTAGGAGTAAGATATGTCTCAAAGTTTACTTCAGTGGATTCTATTTTTGACGCTAGAGTGGAACCTACACTTACAAAATATTGATTAAGTGTTTCGGCAATTAAAGATTTATTTGAAATAACTTTATTATCAATTGTTAGATTTATAGGAAGAATATTTTTGTCAGTTTGTATCGTACCAATTACTTCCTTAATAATGTTCCAAATATTGTGCCGATCATATTTATGTTTAATTAATTGCTCGGTATCGCACAACTTCTTGGACTTTTTAATAACCATCTCAAAAATACGTTTATAATTTTTGTAATTGGTTTCATTGTTGTTGAAAGTTTTTTTTTTAAGAAATTTATTGTATAGTCGTTGCTTTTTTTTTGATGACTTGATAATTCCCGGAGTTATCCATGGATTTGATGTCTTTTTTTTTCACACATTTTGTAATTAATGGAAATGCTGTATTATAAAGTTGTTGTAATTTATCTAGAAACTTATTGTATGCCTTATTTGTGTGTACAATATCAAGGAGGTCATCCCAGTTTAAATCTGCTAGAAGACTATTAAAATTTTCAATGGATTTTTCATCTATTTGTCGTGTAATTTTTTCAATTTTTTTTGCATAGATATTATCGCATTTTTGTGAGATAAGAAATATAGGGAAGTGGTCTGAAATGTCGCATTTAAATATACCCGTTTTTATTTTTGATTTAAATTTGTTGGTTACTATTTGGTCTATAACAGTTACGCTTTCTCTAGTTATTCTTGTGGGTTTATTAATTAGTGGAATATAGCCTTTCTGATAAATGACGTTATAGAAATTATTTATTTTTGTATTTAAATGACGCATGTTCATGTCCAAGTTAAAATCACCTACGAAATAAACGCTTTTATTTTTGCTTAACTTATTTTTAATTATGTTTTTAATATAATTTTCGAATTGTTTTATTGAACCGGAAGGTGGTCTGTATAAAACGTGGATGATAATGTTTTTTGTGGTTTTATTTATTATTTCCACGCACAGTGATTCACAATCAATAGTGGTTGAACACAAATTTTTTCTTAGTTTGTATACTAAAGTATTGCTTATAAATACACACAAACCCCCTCCTTTCTTCCCAGATTCTCTAAATTGATGAATCACTTTAAAATTTGGCAGCTGAAAATTTGTATTTGACATAATATATTCATCAGTACACCAACTTTCGCTGAGTCTAATAATTTTAAAATTGAATTTAATCTCGCATAAAAATTGTTTACATGATTCAAAATTTTTTGAAATGCTCCTAATGTTTAAATGCAAAATTGAAAATGAATTTACATCTATTCCTTGCATTATGTTTGCAGATTTAGGGTTATAATATAAAGTATTATTATTTTGAAAAGCTTTATCATTACTACAAAAATTAATATTCGGGTCAGAACATCTTGAAAATCCTCGAGCAACTTAATGTCTGTTTCGAGATACGGGGACTTGAATGGCGAATTCTAGATGTGGCCGGACAAAACATATATAGAGTGTGCGCCACAAGGTTAAGTTTCTACTGCGGAAATCATTTTTTAGTTTTCCTAACATGTGATTGTCTGTGGATGCTGCTTTTTTAACTTGTGCTCTGACTTTCAGATTGTTTGATATGAGAACTCCAAGGTCACATTCAATAGTTGTAGTTGCAATAGTGTGGCGCATGCCATCAGCGGTTTCCATAGAGTAGTCATGTGATAAACGTTTATTAGGACGACCTGTATGCATCACTCTACATTTATTAATGTTAAAGTGCAGGAGCCAAGTGTTTGACCATGTAACCGCGTTATCAATATCTGCCTGAAGCGTTGTGTTATCCAATGCCGACTTTATGATCCCAATAATTTTGCTGTCATCAGCGTATAGCATTATTTTGTGAACGATACCATCAGGAAGATAGTTTATAAACAAAATAAAAAGCAGTGGCCCCAAAACAAAACCCTGCGGAGCTCTAGTTGTGACGTTCTTCCACTCAGAAACGTGTTCTCCCAAGACAACACGTTTCTTACGATCTTTTAGCCACATTTTAATCCAAAGTAGCAACTTTTTGTGAATGCCATATGCTTTTAATTTATGTAGAAGACGTTTGTGCGGGACTTTATCGAATGCCTTAGCAAAATCTGTGTAGATAATATCAGCACTGTAACCTTGATGCATAGCCTCGGTATGTATGTCGCGAGCTTCGAGGAGGTTAGTCAGACATCCCTTTTTACGAATAAAACCATGCTGATGCTTGGAGATTAGATTGTTTTCCACAAAGTGCGCCATAATATGTTTGTGAATTATTTGTTCCATTACTTTGCACGGTATTGAGGTATTAAAGATGGGAGTAATGTTTGATTTTTTCCAATATTCAGGTACAGAACCAGACAATAAAGATTGTCTAAAAATAGAGTTGAGTGGTATTGCAATTGCTGCTGCACAGTTACGTAATACACGTGGGTGGATTCCATCTACACCAATTGATTTAGTCTCTTCAAGATTGCTTAGATGATTTTGAACGTCTTCAATTGTGAACCAATTTTCATTAATTTTAAATGTTGCTTGAGTACGATCAGGAAATGTTGGAATACTGCCATCAGGTTCAGTTTCAAAGACGGACTGAAAATAGTTATTTTATATGTATATATATATATATATATATATATATATATATATATATATATATATATATATATATACTATATATATATATATATATATATATATATATATATATATATATACTATATATATATATATATATATATATATATATATATATATATATATATATATATATACATATATATATATATATATATATATATATATATATATATATATATATATATATATATATATATATATATATATATATACATATATATATATATATATATATACACATATATATATATATATATATATATATATATATATATATATATATATATATATACATATATATATATATATATATATATATATATATATATATATATATATATATATATATATATGTATATATATATATATATATATATATATATATATATATATATATATATATATATATATATATACATATATATATATATATATATATATATATATATATATATATATATATATATATATATATATATATATATATATATATATATATATATATATATATATATACAAGTGTTAGTATATCTGTGTGTATATAAAAATTTGTATCTAAATTTTTCATTTAAATAACGTTTTTAATTTAATATTATTAAAACATGCGTATTAATTTTAAATAATTTAGTAGTTTTAACTTTATTTAAACTTATCATTACAGCTTTAGAAATGCATCATTTTCTTATACTCTTGCTTGCCTATCCGTGCATGTGTTCTGAGTTAGTGACTCAAAGTGAATCAAAACCACCCATATCTAATTCGTCGGAGGAAAAGAACATTGTAATCAATCCAACATACTGCAATGCTGATTGGTGTGATCCAAGTCACGAACCATATCCTAATATTGTTTCTATAATGACAGGATATAATATTCTTAAAGGAAATCCGTTTACAACAACTCAATCTGTTGATCCAGGCTTTTCTACAGGTTACATCTTTGCTCCTATTGCTAGAACTGCAGATGGAACTTATGCACTAGACAGTGGAATTACCGTCCGTCAGGTCTTTGTCTTATTTACTTATTTATTTTGTAAAATACAGAGCATACAAAAGAGAAAATAAAAATAAAAAAACGGTTTTAATATTAGTTAAAAAAAAAATCTTTTTTTATGATTTTTTTTACAACAATGAGGCAAGTAACTTAGTTTGAGTTTTAATTGTTCTATGCATAATTGCATGACTAACTTTAAAGTTTTTACAGTAAGGCCGTAAAATAACCAGGAAGTGCCATTCTGGTTCTTCCTGGTGATCCACAGTGGGCCAGAATTCACATTTACTGGACAAAATTCATAACTAATTTAATATTGGAGCTACATTCACTAAAATTGGCATGAGTACTTATATGATGTCTGCGTTTTTTATAAAGGTATATTTTTTTTATTTCGTTGCTATGGATACCTTGATTTTGCTTAGCAACAACCTATTTTTGTTATCTGCAGATATTTTATGAGCGCTATATTCCCTAAATTTGGCCTGAGTACCAATATGAGATCACACTTATTATAAAAGTGATAATTTTTTTAATTTAGTTGCTATGGATACTTATATTGCTTAGTTACCAGATACTTTTCTTAGTTACAAATATGTAAGTTGATATTTGGATATTCTATTGGGATTTTTGACCCACCTATAATGAATAACAATTGATTTTTTAGAATTAAAATGTTTTTTCTATAACAAAAACAAAAAAAACAGTGCAAAGTATTTTTAATTTAAAATTACATTAAAAATTTTAAAACAATAACATCGTTCAAAGATTGTTTAAGTAACTGTAAAACATCTGAAGAAAATGCTTTATGATTTGTTCGGTGTGATGTTACGCAGTGATGAAAATAAACAGGATCACTGGAAACTAGGAGTTATTGATAAGATCAGTATTTGTTGCTTTTCTGGATGTTTTTTCTTTGTGTTTTTTAGACTTTACTTGCCACTTTCTTGTTTCGTTTTTATATGCAATGTGCAATACCATCTCAAATAATTGAATCTATGCATGAAGAATGGAAAAACCATATTTGAACTCTCTGTTAGTATAATCTATATTAAGGATATCAAGACTATTCATATTTTTTGGAGAGACGCGGTTTTTTCAGATAATATCGTTTGAACTTTCCCATCAATCATTGTAAGTTTATTAATACAATTCACTTCAATAAAAAACCCGCAAACCTCTAATAAAATCATACCCATGTTTTCTATCTCACTTTTAATGTACTGATTTTCTTCGATCACAGATTCCTTGGATTCCGTTTTGCAAGCAAATCTTATCTACAATAGACTCTGGATGACAACTTTTGATTTCTCCAAATATTTCTCCACCTTTTTCTTATATAAGTTTTTAATAATAATTCTTCACACTTTAAATCTCTGTTCATGTTAGGTTCTGATAAAACTTGTTTATAAATGCTTTGGCCAGTAGCACCATCAATACCAGCCTTACACGTAAGTGTCATTGTTTTTATAGCTTTGTCGTTCATTATCAAGTGCCTCAGCACAGGTTTCTGAACTGCACAGATTCTTTGCAAAGTATGAATCATTAAATCTAGTGAAGGAACTGAAGCTGAATAGTCCTCCACTGTTATATTTTCAGGATAACATTTCAATTTTGCATCTCTGACATCATTGTAAGCGGTGTAGAGCGTATATATTCTTTCTCCAAGGCTCCGCTTGTAATTAATTGATAGGAAGTTTTTGTCAGACTGGCATCAGTTATTAAAGCCAGTGCTTCGTCTGCCGAATATATAGTTGCTTTATCTGTATTTGAAATATTTAAAAAGTCCTTGACAGCACTAACAATAGATTTATCTCTAAATTTTTTACTAGCAGCAAAAAATAATTTACTGGATGAATGGAATTCAATTAAGCAAGATACACGCCGTTTTTTAGTTTTATTAGAACTGTTATCAAATGCAAATCGTTGAACATCATGTCTAAAATCAACGTCTTTAAATTCAGCAAATTTTGGCTGAATAAATTTCAATATATCTTCAGTAATATTTTGTTTTAAAATACTAAGTTGTTTTTTTGGAGAAACTTGATATGAATGAATGAAGAAAATATGAATTTCTAAGTTTAATAAAACCATTTCTAAATAATTCTTATAACAAATATTTTGTTTTTAAAAGTTTAATGTTATAATATATATGCTGCGTATACTACTAATTCGTGTTAGTAATTAAGTCACTTTAAGTGTTAGTAATTAAAATTAAAAGTAATTAAATTACTGTTAGAGTTAGAAATTAAATTACTGACAGCTACCGAAAATATGTTGTTTAAATGCTATGCAAAGTAGGTAGCTATAGCAACCAAAAAAAAAATAACCTCATAAGAATTGTGAATCTCATTTTAATACTCTCAATATTGTGTACTTAGCGCAGATAAAATACTGTTAAAACAACGTTAATGTAAAAATGAGCTGTTGCTAAGCAAAATTCAGTACCATGGCAAAAAATAAATTTCATGAAGATTTTTTTTTTTTTAATCTGTGATTTTCAAAGTATAACTGAGATAACATGCTATGACATATTTATTTCACACATTGGTTTTTCTTTTCTCTAAATACTCTAGAATACCATGTACTAATTATTTGTTTCAAAAACATAGATGTGATTGAAAAATAACGCAGCGTTAATGTCACCGTAAATTACTTATTTAAATTTTTTTTTTTTAATTTCATTATTCAAATGCGTAGAGTCCTGGTAACTAAGAGATTTAATATAAATAATTTATCAATAAATTTCTCCTAATATATGTAGATACTAAAATGAAATAAATTTTCAAGATTAGACAACTAAATTTTTTTTCATTTTGTCCAACTACTGGCCCACTGTGTGATCAAAAAAACACAAAACTGACAGTAAAAGATATTAAAGTTAAATGATTGCTTTTTGCTTATTGATTACTGTTCTGTTTTTTAAACAACTAGAGCCCTCATTTTGCAGAACACACTTTTATAAATTAGCGTTGTATGCTATCATATTTGGATTGTTAGATTTATATAAATCAATTTTATTTAGACTTTGCAGTGTAGCCTGACATCTAGTTCGGAAACAATAACCACTCTTGAAAATTATGTCAAAAAAGTTCAATCAAAATCTTCAGAGGGGGGAACATTCACTTCAAATCTTGAGTTTGAGGTTACAGGAGAAGTCGAAAAGGGTGGCGTTAAAGGATCGGTCAGTACAAAAATTCCACCATTGGTTCAGTCCTCGTTTTCATCAAGTAATGATTACAAAAACAACAAAGACTTTTTTGAAAAAACAAAAGGTAATTTTACTTAATCACTTTTCAAATAAATTGAACAAAAAAGTATTTTATGGAATTCAGTTTTTAAAATGTATATTTGTAAAGGTGTTATGACATTACGTGATGCAACTTGTGCGACATATAGCGTTGTTGTAAGTTCATATAAACCACCACCATTTAGCGATGCCTTTAAAGATGCATTAAAAGAACTAAATGATGTGACAAACAAACAAAAAAAAGGAAGAAAACGAGCTTTTAAAAAATTTGTGCGAGAATTTGGTACACATTTTCTTGAACAGGTAATAAATTATTTTTAGGCAATAGTGTAAATGGGTAAAAACAGAATACTTTGGCAAAAAACAAAAAGTATGGGTGCAAAGCTGAGCAAAAAAAAACTTTTTGATAAAAATAGGCATTTTGAGGATTTTGTAAATATTGCCATAGTTTTATAACATCTCTTTTTTTATCCTCTTTAAAAATCAAACCATTATAGGACCGTTTGTTGGAAATTTATCGTAAATAATAAATATATATATTCAAATTGTTTAGGTAATCTGTATAAATAAATATTTAAATCTTTCCATGATCAAAAAAAACATTTTTTTAGCTTAACCCAGAAAAAATTAGGTAGTAGGACCCGCTGTCAGAGTAAATGCCGTGCCAACGTTGGTCGCCCGACGTGGCACCGCATTGGCTTGCACATGGTATTTATATCGGTCTGCTTGCAAGCTTAAGGAGGCTCAACAGCAGACCGATGGTGCAAAGCTAACATTGCCAATATTATCTTTGTCTATTTTATACATTTTAACTTATCTAAAAGTTTAAAGTTTTTTCCATAACTTGCACTAAAGTCGAACTTAAGAATGTCTTTTATATTAACAGGCTTGGTCGGGAAGCGGGTGCGATCGCACTCGATATTTGACCACGGAAATTATATTTAGTTGCGAAAAGCCGGCCAGATTTTTTAGGCGTTTTGAGAACATTTCAAAAACAAGCAAAAAAGCGCAATAAGATAAACTGGACCGATGAGAAACAGTTAAAAAAAAAAAAATAGCTTTTAACGCAAAACTTTAAGCAAAATAAATACGATAAGAGTTTCAAAATATTTTTGAAATGTCGCTCTTTTATAATTTTTTTTTTAAAAAAAAGCGACATTTTTTGTATATAGTAACAACGTACTAATAATGATTGTTTAATAAAGAAACAAATGTTTCAATTTATCGAAGATTATATATAATTTTTATTTATATACTTATGTCTTATTTACAGTGCTGGAAATAAGAGGTGGGCGAGGGGGGGGGGTAGAAGAGCTATAGTCCCGGGACACACAATGTCATGGGTCGAGAAATAGTCAAGAGGACCTATCGGTATTTTTAAGTCATTTTTACGCTGTCGCATATAAAAAAGGCCACCAAAATAATGCAACCCCCGGCCCTGTAAAGTCCAACAAGATTAAACCAATAAAACTAACGCTACATAATTTAATTATAAATAAGAAAAGTTTTTTCAGTACCTGTTTTATGCTTCGCGTAGTTTGAAAAGTTTAACATATTTGAAACAATTCTTCTTAGTAAGATGAACAAATAAAATAACTAAATCATTGAGTTACTGTGGAAATTTAATTAGCTAGATAGAAATTAACTAAAAACGTTAAATTACTTTGTAAGGAGGAAGCGGAACTGCTTAACAATATCGCTGATGATGTTTAGTGAGTGGGCTTTATATCTTAAACTAGTATTTTACAGAAAAAACTTTAAGTGTAAGTATAACGAGTTTGTAAGAATGGCTGAAGCAAAAAATAATTGAAGTTAATAAACCAATTTCTAATACATTACATACATATAAATACATCCCTTATATATAAAAAATAAGATTATACTAATTAAATCTATAATATATTTACAAAACGTTGACAAGTTAAAAAATATAAATTTAAAACATTTATTTTTGTAAACAAATGTTAGTTTAAAACATTTATAGCTTTATGGATGTGACTCCGAGAATGAGCCATTGTATTAAAATAATTGTTCGTTTGATAATATATACTTAAAACAATTGATGCTAGAATTCTCAACGAAAAAATAACAAAAACAAAAACAAAGAACAAAGATTTTGAAAAATAATTCAACAGAATACTCTAGAACAGTCGCGTAGTAATTTCAGTTATTTATTAATTGAACTAATAGAATTAGTTGTTCGTAAATTTGGCGGGTTTTTTGTGTTCGCGAATATTCTTTATTTATTTTTCCGCACTAAGATGTTTGACAACATTTAAGTTTATATAAGTTTCCATGTACGTCCGTAAAAAAAAATCTTATAAATTTACGATAAAATGAACTTATTATTTTGCTGACAAACAAGGAAACATATATAAACTGAAATGTTCTCAAAACGCCTGAAAAATCTGTCCGGCTTTTCGCAAGTAAATATAATTTCCGTGGTCAATTATCGAGTGCGATCGCACCCGCTTCCCGACCAAGCCTGTATTAAAAATGTCTTCTTGATTTTGTTTTTCTAGAATAAAAGGTTTTAGTGTTTTCCTTACCTCAATAACAACCTTATCCCAATCATCAGGAATATTTGCCAAGATTGTTTTTCTTGCATTGTTAAACAGATGGAAATCTGCGTCATTTGGCGAAAAAGATTGGCCTCTTGTAAAAAAATGTGAATTACACTAATTTTTTTTAAGTAAAAGTAATACCATATACCGAAACCAAATCATGACAAAACTTTTATTTTGTCTAGAACACCCGTCACTCAAAATATATATAGAGTTTTCGTACCCTGTGACAAATGTTTTTTAACCAGTGGAGCAACATTGATGTTACCTCATTTTTCAACGTTTTACCACTCCTTCGTAATAAAAATACATGAACAAATCATTTCGGCCTAAATCATGTATCCCAAATATAAAGTACCTAACTAGCAATAATATAGCACAGCATTAGTAACCATGTTTGGCAAAGAAAATTTATGCATGAAGTCGAATAATATGACAGTAATATCAGTAAAACTGTAAGATTTGAGTTAGTGCAACTTTTTTATGCTAATGTATTTGAAAGGTAACGTATTGATCTTGCATTTTTTTTTTGTTAAAAGACTTATAGCTTTGACGGACTTTGAAGGATTGTACATGGAATAAATGAGCTGTTTTATTTCATCAGGTACAGCATGTTTGCAAATTTTATGCCTCCTTCAACTTTCTGAGTTAATCCTGTGTTTGTGATATGATTTTGAATACGTCTTTGTCGAGAATAAGGAATACCATGAATTAATAAAAATGCTTTCATAGAAATCTCATACCTTAGATATTCATCTGTAGATTTTGACAAAAACAAATAAGATTAATTTTTATTAAGAATGATAAAGATTTGCACACATTTTATATGACGCATCAGGAACGATAATACTGACCTTACATTTGTAAGATTCTAAATGCATATAAATATTATCATTAATGGGAAATACATCTTTCAAGTAATATTTTTTCCTTGAAGTCTTCTTTTTATATTTACACTTCAATGCAACCAGATAAATAAACATGTTATTTGTTTAAAATTTACATATTGTAAAACATAAGAAACATTTCTATTATGAAATCTACATTCACTGTTTCAAAACAGTATATTTTTGGAACCTTGATAAATTAAGTATACATAACTAAAAAGATTATAGTTTAATCTTTTAGTTTAGATTTCGAATTTTAGTTGTCTTAAGTAAAACTTGCTCAACAAAAGTTATTAATCATCAAAGTAATCCCATCCAAAATAGTCCAATTTGCATCCAAATAATGGGATGCTAAATGGACATACTAAACACATAGAAAGAGTGCATGCTTATTAATAAAGTATTGTTGATGTTGATATATGATGATAACGATGATGATGTATGATAATGATGACGATGATGGTGATGATGATGGTGATGATGTGGATTATGATGATGATATAAACATATATATATATATATATATATATATATATATATATATATATATATATATATATATATATATATATATATATATATATATATATATATATATATATATATATATATATATATATATATATATATATATATATATATACATATATATTATTTTAAAACATCAAGTAATACAGTTTTTCTCAATACTAATAATTTTATTTTGTAAGAAATTTTCGCTGGGTTATGGATACCAGCATCATCAGCTTGTAAAATATTACAATAATTTTTTAATTATATAAAATTGTTACTGTTGACGTCAGCGGTTGCATGGCTTCTTTTTATTTTTAAATTTTAAAAATGGCGTCCAAAACATAGTTTTTACATATTGGCCTTCATCAAGATTAATTCCGCCATTTCGTGCAGAGCACATGTTGTTTTGTATTTCTAGTGCCACTCTAATTTTTCTTTCAAACTTTTTATTTTCTACTTTTAATGTTTTTGTTTTTTCCCAAATAATATTTTCTTTGCAAAAGGTTTTATGATATGCTAATGCAGATTAATTAGGTTTGTTTTCATTAATGCTCTTCTGATGTTGATGCATTCGCGTATTTACCTGCATTTTTGTTTCACCTATGTAGTCCTTAGAGCAGTTGCATTTTATTATATATATATATATATATATATATATATATATATATATATATATATATATATATATATATATATATATATATATATATATATATATATATATATATGTATATATATTGTTATCACCATCACATTCATCATCATAATCATCATAAGGGCTTTTCAAATAATACGTAATATTTTTTATGCCGTTTTTTAAACCCCCTCCTCCCTTAGGTGGTATTTTGTGGCATTTTAAAGAACCCCACCCCCATTTTATTATGCGTCAAAAATGGACGCTATAACACAAACATCTGGCTGAGCAAATTGTTGAAAAATCAAGAGAAAGGTACAATAAAATTTTAACTTATATTGGAATTAAATATACACTTTAAAATAAGATTTTAAAGTGTCTATTTAATTCTAATAGTTTTTTTTTTTAATACAATTGATGAATATTTGTCTAAAACCTAAATTTGTTTTTAAATCGGACTTGGAGTTCCATGTTCTTTAATAACTTTCGAAGGCCAGTTGAGGCTAGAGGTATCAACATCATCCTGATCAAATTACTTAACTGTTTCTTTGTCCGAATTCAAAACGAAAGATAGAAGATAGCTGCAAAATATAATAACTGCAATTGGTAAGAAATTCTTTTTTGTAAGAATTTTTTAATGCTTGGCATGAGTTGTCGTATGGCGATCCATTGGGGTACTTTTTTGTTACTATCTTGGGAAAAATTGTTTTGTAAAGCGATAAGTTTAAAATGAGGGATGTAAAGTTATTCTTTGTATTATTGCATTCAAACCATCTTCTCTTTGAAACAAAGAAATTGGTGGTGGAAAAAAACCAGTTTTAAAAATGAAACAGTGAGCTACAACGAAGACCACAGCAGTTTTGATTATTACAACGTTGAATATATCGTTTGCAACTTGAATGAAAATATCATTTACAATTTGAAACAAGTATTGACTTTCTCTGACATGTTTAGTATCTCACTCTTCACCAAAATGTTTTAACTGTGCACATTTTTCACTGTTTGGTTTTATGTGCTTGACTTTATTTTCAAATCCATCAATGACTGTGCGAGACCAAATTTATATAAGAACTTCACTAGCTTTTGCCAAATTTGTCTTCTTCATAACTTTGTCTGTTATTTCTCCTCTTGACTTGAAATAGTTTTCAAAAAGATCAAAATGAAGAACAAATCCTGCTAGGTCATGGCTTAGCGGAGCCATTCTTCTCTCTACCCTGTTAAAGGCAATTCTGCCAGGAGCATTAGTGGCCACAAACATTCCAAAAAGGTCATGCTCTTTGATATAAATCTTTGCACAATGAATTATTTTTTCATATTTTGGTTTTTGATCTGGCCCACCATCAAGAGTTATAATCATGACTGATTTGCTAACTCCATCTTTAGTAAATAAGCTGCTTTTAAATGCAGGAAGACGGTTCATTCTGTTCATGTCTTCTAAGTGACTAAGTGCTGTTGATAAATCATGTTTTGCACCTCTGATTGCTATGTATGTAAGGCCAGAATATGCAACTGCTTCTTTTCCCATGCAATCTTTTTTAATTTTTATGGCTGCAATTACTATAGAAATAAGTTTGTGTTGAGGAGCGATTACAAAATCATGATCAGCTGAAGTCACTTATATTCCATATGCATTATCATTGGTACTTGATTGTTTGCCGCTGATAATCTGATTAACACCCTAGCTTTATCATCCTGGGAGTAAAACGTCACTTCTTTAGGACCCAAGACTGCCGCAAATTCTTTAAGAGCACTAATGGGTTAGCGAATTTTGTGTCTGCATATTTATGCTTAGAGTTTTGTGCTCTTATTAAAGCACACGTGTAAAAAATCTAAATAAAATTTTTTATTTTCATTTGTTATGATTCCGTTAAAAAATAAACGCTAGCCACATGTGAATCCGTTGCACAACATATACGAAAGTATCTTTTTTGACAATCAATTTGAAGGAAATATAGTTTTTAAAGAAATATTTTAACGATAGTCATTGCTTGGAATTATATATAGGCAAATCAAAGAATAACATAAACACAATTTGCATAAAAGTGGATACAAAACACTGAACGCATTTTTTAAAAATAAAACTCAAAAGATGTAAGTTTATTTGGAAATAAAAATAATTTAAAAGGCAATTATTTTTAAAATATTTTGTTAAAAAATGGGAAAAATCAAACGTGTTTTATTAAAACCAATAAAATGTGTTTATAAATTAAATTAAAAGCATTTTAATAAAAGATAAAGGTAAGTTAACAAAGTTCATAAAATCAGAGTTCCAGAACAGGGAGCGTATTCTATTTTTTTTTTTTTAGGCAACAATGGGTGCTCGAACTGCTGTTACCAGACGATATACTCAGAAAGAATTTAGACATAGTACAGATGAACAAATACAAAAATGCAGTGAACAACGTTTGCTAGTAACAATTGCTGGAGTTGGTGTTGGTAAATCATCTGAGAGTTGCAATAACATCGATATGTCATCAAACAATTATAATTTTAATGGAGCTGAAAGAGAGTCTGTAACGTCTTACGGGTCTAAACCAGCAGAAAATCTATATGAATGGTCAAAACAAAAGTTTGAATCTCCGTTACCAATTGCAATGAAACTTAGTCCTATAATTAATCTTTTCAGCAAAAACTACATGAAAAATCTTCCTGATATAAAATACAAAGAAATATTGAAATATTTTATTCCACTTTATTATAATTATTGCAAAAATGAAAAAGAATCGTTGGGTATAGAAGAATGCAGTTTAACAAATAAGAAAAAATGCGGAATTAATGACAACTGCGTTCCACGAAAACAAGCTTGCATTGATATTGCAAACCAAAACAACTTTACATGTTGTAATTTAAAGTGTGCAAGCAAACCTTGTAAAAACAATGGATTCTGTGAGGATATTATTGATACAGACTGTAACTTTCGATGCGATTGTACAAATGGGTGGAGTGGACCAACTTGTGAAGCTAGTATTGTTAAATTTGACGACTTGTCTAAAGATATAGAAAAACAATTGGAAGAAAAAAAAGATTTAAATAATGATAATTTTGTTAAGTATCTTTACAATTATTTAACAGAAAAGTATAAAGGTTATACTTTTATTGTAAATGCCTTCAAAGAGTACGATGTTTCAGAAAACTCAAGACATGCTGCTATAGGTAATTTTGTTCACTTTTATAAAAAACATGGACGAAATCTTGTTGTTGGATGGGCAAATATCAACTCTAAGATTCCATCGGAGGCTGTCGTAGAAAAAATTAAAAGTGATCTTCATAAATATGTTGACAACTATGTAAGTATTCACATGTTTTATTTATTTTAATAAATTTTGTTGTTGCTTAGCAATAAGATTTTTTTGAATCACGATTTAATATAAATTATAAGCAAAATATATAAGATGGGGTTATCATATCCTCGTCATAATGAAATATATTTTCAAAAAGTGTGAATATATTCCATTTTATTTACTTTTAACTCCGTACTTTAAAAGACACTTTCTTAACCATAAAATATTTCTCGCCGTATATTTAAAAACACTTAACGATAAAGTTGAATTTTCACTAATAAATATTATTTATGTCATTTAATTTAGCGTATAACTTTAGTGGAGCATAAAGAGGGTAGGACAGAGCTAATTGAGTAAATTTTCCTAAATTTAAAAGATTTCATAAATACATATTTCAGATATACATAATTTCTTTGCTGTTAGACAAATAATTTAACCTGGTAAGTTATGAATATAAAAAAAGTATAGATTTTGATTAGTTTAAGAAGATATTGCCTAAAGTTCACCGAACTGTTCAACTTACCCCGTTGGGGTAGGTTGAACAGTTAATAAATAAATTATTATGCATGACATAGTTAAATCACCATTAATACTAACGTTATAAGTATGCATGTCTATAGTTTAAAATTATTCTTTACATACTTTAACGACATAAGTAAAAGAAGTGAAAAAATTTAATAGTTAAAAGTGTCATAAATGATAAAAATATTATTTAAAATGTCATAATAGTTCAGAGCCAAAGTTAAAAATTACTAACTTAATAAATATTTATATAATATACCTCAAAATTCTTTCTTATCAAAGTTTTAACTTTTTTGTAAGTCAATAGAAAATGGTCATTGTAGTTTGGTTTTCTCTCTTAAAACACCAAGAAGCTTCAGAAAAATGATCCTGGAATTAAAAAACTTTACAAAGATAGTATTAAAAGATTAACTTCTAACGGCATTCATAGAAAACTTGTTAGTGTAAAGCAGTTCATTGAGTTTGTTAAATTTCGTATATATAGTAAGGTTTTTCGGCAGCCAATACAGTTTGTAGTGTTAAACCTATTGAAAAATTTAGTTAAAATTACTCATAGTTTTACAGATTGATGGAATACTAGTTTAGATATTATAAACCTAGTTCTTATGTGGTAATGTTTGGGTTGGTAAAATAAAAACTCATTCTTTATATCATCAACAAAAAATGTGAAATTTGGTATAGTAGACAATAGGTTAATATCACGCTGTGAACCACAATAATCGTCAGGTTTGAAATCTTCTTATATCAGATTTGACTTTATATATTTTTAGCTATATATTAAATATTTCCTTATTTAGTTTATTTGGGTTACTTCATTTATTTATTTAGTTTATTTAGTTTATTTCATTATTTAGTTTAAATATTTCATTATTTCATTATTTAGAAGCTCAAAAATCACTTCCTGAGAATCTTTTAGAATATTTCCATTTAAGATGATTAAAAATGAATTTTACATTTTTTTTGATTTCTATAGACACAGTTTAAAAATCAAAAACAAAAAATCAAATGGTAAAGTGATTATGGGACAATATTCAAAACAAATCACAAATTTTTTACATTAGAATAGGCATACACATTTTATATATTTTTAAAAATAAGAGTATTTATAAATCATTTTCTGTTACAAACAAAACTTTAACAGAATATTAGAAACTGTTTAAATTTATAACCAAAAAACTTTTTTAATCTAGTTTGTATAATTTTTTTATTTACAGAATAGTAACGCATATAAAAGTGTGTATAAAGCATGGAATGACTATACCGCCGCTTATCCTAGTTACCCTATCGTATTTATGCTAGTTGTTCGACATGGTGGTGGTCTCCGAACAATGTATGATTTTAATAAGAAAAACGGTGTTTTCTTAGAGTTTAAAGTTAAGTATTGGAATGGAATCGATGTTTCAAACCTTGTTGCTTTCTTCGGAAACATGATTTAATCAAGAATCAAATTATTCTACGTTTTTTTTTTTACTTCTATAAAATGTAAAAACGAAATATTTTTAAAATTACGTTATTTTTACTTTGCAATTTATTTCTGCTATTTGTTTAACAAAAATAAATTTTGCTACAAGTTACGCGTAAACCCTTTCAGTCACACTTCCGTAAGCTTTTTAAACAAAAAATTAAAAAAAAGTTTTAATTTCAAAAAAGTTGTTTCTTAATTTGCTATATATATATATATATATATATATATATATATATATATATATATATATATATATATATATATATATATATATATATATATATATATATATATATATATATATATATATATATATATATATATATATATATATATATATATATATATTAGCTGTCATGACCTGTAAGTTATGGGTCATTTTAGGTCAGTTCCACAGCTACTAATTATATACTTATTCCATATATAGTCTAATTATTTTAATAATTTTTAGTAAATGGTAGAAAACAGTCGGCTCAAAAAATTTGGCTTTGAATACTCTGGCGGTTTAGGGCCAGTCTCTATGAATGTCTGGTTTTTTTTGTTTTTGTGCGGGTGATGTTCTTTTTTATCGTTCATATCTCATAGGAGAATTTCAAAACGCTGCAAAGTGGGTTAGAATTCACTTTTACTGCACAAAACTAATAACTCCTTTTATAAAAAAAGATTTAAGGACAACTTTTGCACTGTTTACCAATTTGAGGATTGTGGTTTTAATGCTGACGTTAGTTTTAATTTTGTGTTGCTATGGGTACCTAAATTGCTTATCAACCACATATTATATTAACCATAATATAGCTAAACTGAATTAAAGTATTAACAAATGTAGTGGTGCTAAGGTTTTTTCATTTGGTTGATCACGATACCTAAAATACCTTGCAACGGTTTATTTTGCATAGTTACTAGAATAAATTTTTTTAAACATCAACGTTGTAAACAAGACTAATATTAATGTGGCATTCTGATTGATAATAGTTTATGCATTTAAAGAATTAAGCACATATTCACTTACTAATGTTAGGTGTTTTTATGCAGTTCTAAGGCTCTATTTGATATTTTATGAAGCTAATACATAATTTATATAAAAGAGAACCTTAAGCTTAAACTTTTTCGTTTATATAATAATATAAATATTTGATTTAAAATTATTTTTCATGCCAAACCTCATGTATTCTGATAGTTGTATAACAGCTTTAGCTTCTTTTTTTTAACCATCTTGGCGCTAACTACAATAGTTCAAAAGATGAAAAAAATGCAACTAATGACGCCTATCTTCATTTCTTTGTTTTGTTACTTAAAGAATCATAATTCACTTGGGGTCTGCCAGACACTACTGTTAAATAAGAGCAGAGTTATTTTTATTAATATCAATGCAATCCATCTTTATCCGCAGGGAAATTTATGCTCAATAAGATATTTGCAAATACTCTAAAATTCTTTTCAAAGTGAATAACAAACATTGGCTACAAAACGAACCAATATCGGTTCAATTTGCAGTTAAAAATAAGAATATTCTTTTATCTGCCTCCAATAGGAGGCAGACAAAACGAACTAATATCGGTTCAATTTGCAGTTAAAAATAAGAATATTCTTTCATCTGCCTCCAATAGGAGGCAGATAAAAGAATATTCTTATTTTTAACTGCAAATTGAACCGATATTGGTTCGTTTTGTAGCCAATGTTTGTTATTCACTTTGAAAAGAATTTTAGAGTATTTGCATATATACCTTTGTCAAAGATGCTTTATGAAATTAGACAAGTTATTATTTGCAGTTAAGTTCTTGCCATTTACAACTGCATCAAAAATATTATGATTAGCTAACTTCAAGTTCTCTTGTATTATATATGAATTTTAATCAATATTTTTCATGTTTTAAATCAATAAAAACATAAATTACACTTAAAAAATCTTATAAATAGATATTTTAAGATGTATTAATATTAAAACAAGTTTGTAATGCTAATCTAGACTTACTGAAAACAGTTACATAACCATTTAGAATAAAATATATGTTTTTGCCACATAAAATCGGATACACCAGTTAACTTTAAATCATTATTATCGACCAAGCGAACATCCACAACTTATAAAGCAAATTTATATTGATAATATGCAATCCATCTTTATCCGCAGGGAAATTTATGCTCAATAAGATATTTTGCGGTTAAAAAGTCGCCTTGATCAACTGCTTCAGAGACACAGATGTAAACCTCGGAACAGCCGCATCGGCTCATTTTTTATTGTCAACATGGACTCCATCTTTTGCTAAACAGGTTTATTGATCCGATTGTTGGCCAACTCTAGAGGGATAAAAGACAATTTATCTTTGTTACTAATACTAAATGACAGAACGCCTGATTTTTATAACAAAAACGAATCGCGCAATAAACAATTTAATTACATAAAAACTATGAAGTTGCAGTTTCGTTTTTTTTTAAAAAGAATATATGAAATTCAAAAAAAATTTTAAAATTCGATTAGCTATTATTGTTTTATATGCTTAGATATGAACAAAATATTTTTTAAATTTCCGAAATAAATTTCTACATTTTTTTTCTGTTAAAAAGACTAAAACCATATATTATATTGATTTATTTTTTAACAGAAAAAGTAAAGATAACTTAATAATTTTGCGCCTAACAGGATCTTTGCGCCCGGGGCAATTTCTCCCCAGATTGGCCCCCAGCTCGCTGTGGTACTGGTTAATACTCATTTATATCAACAAGTAAGTTTTTTAAAATATAACTTAACTTTATGTTATATTTTATACTAATACCAAAAGTTAAATAAAATAAGTCGTTATAAAAATTGTTAAGTTTATATAATAAACTATAGATTCTAATAAAACAATCCTAAGCATTTTATAATTTTGTTTTAAAGCTAACTACGATCGAAAAAATATCTGAGGTATATCGCTGTCCTAAGAAGAGAAAAACAGGCGCTTAGGAGATGAAGTTGCAATAGTATGTTTTTAGTTAATGTCACTTTAGATAGAATGGAAACAAATCAGCTGCCTCTAAGGATTCACTTTGCCCAACATTGTATATTTTTTAGAGAACATTATCCAAAAAAACCACTAAAGGACCTCATCATTTTTCCTTTGTATGTTTATAAGGCATAACAATCAGATACAGTTGTTAGGCGTTACAGGACTGGAACACAGTAGTGGTGAAGCCCAGTTTACAGCAATTCAAAGTTTGTTAGATTCTTACGATCCAGGACAATTCATCCGCGGAGTTTTCTTTGATACCACGGCTTCAAACAATGGCTATTTAACAGGGGCTTATTTAAGGTTAGCTAAGTAAGCTAAGCTAAGTTTCATGGCCGACCATACCTTTTGTTAGCATGCCGTCATCATGTTGAAAAGCTTAATTAAATTAAAGTAAAATTAGAGTAAAAACTTAATACTTTGTTTTTGTATAAATATATTTTAGAGTGATGTAGTTCTTTATTTTATCCTTACCATACTATTTCTTAGCTTTTTTTTTGGTTTTGTAGGTTCCTGCAAGTTTTAAGCGCCAACAGAGCCTGCCTCTTCAACCATGTACCATTAACATTCTGGTGATTAAATTTTAACAGTACCTTTATGTTATTTGCACTAAGGTCATTCGCGTTCTATTTCAAAGATTTAAAAAGTTGGTTCTCCGGCCCAACAATTTTTATTTCAACTTCATTACAAAAGTGTTTTATATCTCAATATAAAACACTTTTGTAATGAAGTTTTTCAGACTTTTTTTTAGAAGGAGATTTTCAGACTTCTTTTACTATTATAATCTAGAATTAAGCAAAAATGATAAATTAATATAAAACGAGCTTTTAGAATACTACATATTACTTTAACTATACTTTTGCAATATTTTATTAAAAAGGAGAATTTAATTTACTTTGATGCAACTTTTCCTGCAAGAAATTTATAAAAGCTCTACTTAAAAGCTTTAAGGAGAAGCTACCCGCTGTCTTTATCGTTACGATTATAACTAGCTATTCGCTAGCCGATTTCCCCTGATTAAAGCTTAAATTATCGCTCAATGTATATAATTGAAAAAAAAGTTTGCTCAAGCAAATTTATCTGTCTGTGTCTAATTAATTGATAAATAGAAGAGGAAAATGTTTTGAAAAGCTATACTAAATGAAAAAATAAAATATATGGAATAAAGGAAATTTATTTCTGATGCGCGCTTAACTTTTGAGTAAATTGTATGTCAATCAAAATGTATATCTTTACATTTAACACTTAAACAACAATTAACTTGATAAAGCAGCAACAACTCTAAACTTATTTTCTAATGTTTCTTTATCAAATAAACACAAATTTTCTAGACACTTGGGCATCTTTTAAAGTTGCTGATTTAAAATTTAAAATTTTCCTTATTCAGCTATAAAAATTATTTCAAAGTTTATTAAAACGTTGATTTAAATTATTAAGTACGTTCCAAAACTATGTTTTAAATTTAAGTACGCCCATAAATAATCTTTTAAGATTAAATACGCCTCAAAATATCGTTTCCAATTAAAGTACACTCCTAAATAACGTTTTAAATAACATTTTACTTAAGCACCATACTGCAATATTTAGGGTTGAATACAAACAGTTTTGAAGATATTTCATTTCTATTGTTTGACTGAAACAACATAAAATTACTCTCAAGAATTTTTCTTTAGAAAAAGATTTTCATGTATCTGACTTCTTTAATAATGAACAACAAATAAATTAAAATTGTTTTGAATGATCTAGTAGAAAATGTATTTGTTCGTAATCACCCATATATTGGATCTTTATGTTCATATATGCTTTTTTACCAATCATGATTGAATCAGAATATTTGTGAATAAATATTTAAATAAATGCATTTATTTAAATAGTTATTCACAAATATTCTCATTCACTATAGGATTTAATACGTTTACCAATAATATCTTTAACTATTTTATAGCACGTTTTTGAACTTTCCCAGCAAACATTATTTTAGTGGATTTGCAATGGACCTATGTTTAAAGAGATTTTAGCTTTATTCTATAAGTGCTTCCCCATATAATACTTGCGTAGTTTATATTA